CCCAAAATAGCCCCCTGCGTAACCCCTTGAAACGCTACCCGGCTCCGACTTACGTGTCTCCGTCCTCCGTGATGTGCGTTTGCCAGTCGCTGAGCGGCTCTCCGCCGCCAACGGCCGGCGGTTGGCGGCGTTCGGTCTCCAGTTGGAGCCGCAGGATCTCGGCCGTTACGGCCTGGTAGTCCTCCTCCTTCATGGACTCGACGCCGCTGTCCAGCCGCTCCTCCGTGGACTGCGGGGCCGCCTTGCCCTCCTTGGTTTCCCGGCTGTAATCCATGGGGTCGGATCCGCTGATCCGGTGGAGGTCCATGTCCGCGGCCGTGCTCCGGTGGAGGTGCGTTCGGTCGGGTTGTGGCGGAGGGCTGCTGCCGTCTGTGGGTGTGATGGCGGGGACGTCTAAGGGGGGCGGAGCTAAGGGCTAGGTGGGGGATTTCCAGAAAACTGTCACCTAGAATAACACGGCGTACAGATTGCTGGCTCCAAGAGGGGATTTCTGTCCAGACATATAAATACACAGCTCAGTTTGTCTTTTAAAGAGAGCAAAACGCGTTTGCTGAGAGCCTGCTGCATGGAAAACGCCACTTTTAAACCATTTAAACCTTTGCAACCGCTACAAAAACATGCATTTTTCCCCCTTCACATTATCTATAATTTTGCAACCAGGGTTCACTTCAGATTAGGCCTGATTTTAAAGCCTTTAATGAGTCAAATGGGAGGGGTGCATGTAAATTCTGCAGAACCTGCTGAATCACTTCTGGAGGGGGGAGGTGCACTGGAGTTTCCTCCACATTTAACAACTGATAGCAGTGTGATTTCAGTTTGTTTATGCACGGTGGTGGTGGAGGCAGCAGGCGTGCAGCGGGGTTCCCCCCCCCACCTCCCCCACCCCCCCAAACCCAGCACATGCTGCTCAGCTCTGCAGAACAAAACAGTTTTCCTGTCACCGTGCTCAAAGGTGGCACGCTGCATTCACTTTAATCGGTTTATCTTCCTTAACAGCAGCTGGATTAAACTCCTATCTAAAGTCACTCCTTTCATTCCTGAACATGATGGAAGCACTCCAAGTCCTTGAAGAGGCCGTGCCCGGGCCCTCTGAAAACAAACATGATGTCCTGGAGGCCTGAGGGGGAAAGTCCAGGCCTGTTTTACCTCCCATTGTTCTGCAGGACCAGTCGGACCGGGAAGCTCCGGCTTCGCCCTCAGCTTTATTTTCTCTTTTCTCAGCCTGGCTCTGCAGAGGCCTGGAGCTCATCTTCTGACACCTTAAACCTCCATTCTGCAAACGACTGCCGGCTTTAGAAGAGAAAACGGAAGCAAAACAAACCCTCTGCTCTGCCTCTATTTTGTGGAAATGTGAATTCTGGGCCTCCAAGTGTTAAAACTAGTCCTGTGTTTGAACCCTAACGAGGAAGATGAATGCATCCAGCAGACTAAAGAAAGAAGACACAATAAGATGAGATAGATAGATAGATAGATAGATAGATAGATAGATAGATAGATAGATAGATAGATAGATAGAGTGGGGGAAATAAGTATTTGAGCCCTTGTTGATTTTGCAGGTTTGCCCACTTACAAAGAATACAACGATCTATAACTTTAATCATATGTACATTCTAACAGTGAAAGACAGAATCCCAAAGAAAATTCCAGAAAATCACATCATATGAATTTATAAAAATTGATAACCATCTGATGAGGAAAAATAAGCATTCTTTGTAAGTGGGCAAACCTGCAAAATCAGCAAGGGCTCAAATACTT